TTTAAAATTAAACGCGATGCTAGTAGTAATGTAATGCTAGTTTTAACCAATTGTTTTGGTTAATTAAGTAACATACATGATTGTAAGCTGTTATTTTTGTCAAAAAGTTCCGCAAAGTCTCTTGCTGGTTCTTTCCAGGACAGAGGTTTTTTTTTTACCAAACCAGTGGTAAATAAAAAAAGTGATTTTCAATAGGTATTATTTATAATCTATATTAAATAAAGAAGTTACTATTTCTGTTTCCGTTTCTCACATTACGGCGTTTTAAGGAAAAAACTACAAAAGGTTAAAGGAATATACCGTAAGCCCAAAAAACCATAAATTTATACGAATGCGAACAATCTGCTTACGTCATGTTACACACGTACAATCTAAATTGCCTAACAAACCTAACTACCTCTCTTCATCACCTCTCCCTCCTCTCTCTCTCAATAAACCAGAGAGACCAGAAGTCTTCGCCATCCAAATCAAAAAGCTTCAACAGTTGCAGATAAACTAGTTCATGAAGTCTTCTATCGTTTTGGAGTACCTTTGGAGATTCACAGCGATCAAAGAAGGAATTTTGAGTCTCAAATATTCCAGGAAATTTGAACTTCTTACCACCCGCAATCTGATGGAACGGTAGAACGATTTAATCAGACATTGGAGAGGTATCTATCAAAAATTGTGGAAATTCAGCAATGAGATTGGGACAAGCATATACAACCGTTTTTGTTGCCATATCGAAGCGCTGTTCACGAAAGTACATCAGTGACACCAGCTTTCGCAAATTTTGGAAAAGAATTGCGGCTGCCCGCAGACCTGATCACCGGAATACCATCTGATGCCCCACGCAGTATAACCGATTATGCGAATGCGAAACAAAATGAATGACATTTATGAGCCCGTCAGAGAATCAGGCCACCAAATGTCTGAAAAGATGAAAACCCAGTATGACCGCAAAATGAACAACAAAGGGTTAGACGAAAGTTCACTAGTGTGTAGCTTAAGGGACAACCATTTGCAAATGACAGCTGTCTCCCCGACTGTTTTCCCATTTACGGCAAAGAACTCCATCCTGAATCAGCAAGCTTTCCCATTGGGCCCAATAGCTTTTCTTGGTTGAACTCATCGCTGAGACGTCGCTCTACTTGGGCTTGGGAGCACTGGCCTGCATCCATTCCAAAATCGGCTTAATGTCCGAATCTTGCATGTTTTAGTCTGTCGCTGTAACTCGTTGCTGAGGTGGTCTGTCCTGAGCATCCTCACAGATACCACTTCCTTACCCTCTTGCCTAGTACAATGCTTGAAATCTACTGCAATCTCTGCTGAAACGTTTGGTCTACCATGATGATGTCATCTAAGTAGACCAGACAGGAATTGCCAATTAGCCCGGTAAGTACAAGTTCCATAAACCTTTCAAACGTTGCCGGAGCATTGCACAATCCATACGGCATAACTTTAAATTGCCACAGACCCTTTACTGTCGAGAACGATGATCCTGCCGTACGTTTTCCAACTCCAGTACATGGAGCCAAGGCGTCCTTAAGTGTCTCGTGGTGTCCGAGCCTCAGAGCAGCTCTGACTTCAAGGTCGCGGATGCTGTCGATGAATGTCTGCACCGGGTTCCCTTCAACGAGCGCGGGTACAGATCGGTATGCTTTTCGAATCAGCTTCTCCATCTCAAGGGCCCACTGCTGCAGGTTTTCGTTGCTGCGTTGCACGCGATCTTTAAGCTGCGCACAAAAGACGTGTTCCAGGTGAGCGTCAACATATCTCGCCTCCAATAAGGAGCTGCTGAGGCTTAGGGTGAGAGCAGTCGTGGACTGACTTTAATTCTGGCCATTCACCTTCATGACAGCTTCGAACTGTGAAGTCCCACGTAGTGAAGGTGTTCTAGATGCAGCGGGAGCTCCATTCCCAAGTATGAGGTTCTCCCGCGTTTTCTTCACGTCAGCCATCACGTTGTCAACCCGTTCACTTGGACGATTCGGGTTTCAGCTTCCGACGGGCGGTTGTCATGTTGAGAAACTAATTTCACTTGGACGTCAGTTGGACGGTATGTATGTAAACAAGATATCTTGCGAAAAACTGAACTTATCACTTTGATTTTTTATTAGCTTTTGACTTTAATATTAGGAAGCCTTTTAAACTTCACTATTGTAAACCGTTCCGTCCCGTTCATCAATATTTGACATTTTTTTCGGTAACAAAATATGAATCACCGGTATTAAGCAGTAAAAAAAATTTATGTTTATATAATAGAAACAATTTATTTGTAGCGTTAAACAAAATACGTGTTTCGGTAATTAATAAAAGTAAATTGTTATTCAAAACATGATGTCAGCATTCGGGGTGTGCACTTTTGGATTTTCCAAATATTATTTACCACTGGTTCGGAAAATAACTCTGTCCTGGGAAGAACCAGCAAGAAACCCAGGGGCACTTTTTTAGGGTTCCGTAGTCAACTAGGAACCCTTATAGTTTCGCCATGTCTGTCTGTCCGTCTGTCCGTCCTCGCTTAATCTCTGTGACCGTTAGCACTAGAAAGCTGAAATTTGGTACCAATATGTGTATCAATCACACCGACAAAGTGCTAAAATAAAAATTGGAAAAAAAAATGTTTTATTAGGGTAGCCCCCCTATATGTAAAGTGGGAAGTGATTTTTTTTTTAATTTCAACCCTAACGTGTGATATATTGTTGGAAAGGTATTTAAAAATGAATAGGGGTTTACTAAAATCATTTTTTGATAATGTCAATAATTTCGGAAATAATCGCTCCAAAATTAAAAAACAATGTGTCCCCCCCCTCTAACTTTTGAACCATAAGTTTAGAAAATATGAAAAAAATCTGGAAAGTAGAACTTTATAAGGACTTTCTAGGAAAATTATTTTGAACTTGGATGGAAAGAACAGTTTTTGTACAAACTCATAAGTGGGAACACTTACTGTGACGGACGGAAAACTACGGAACCCTACACTGAGCGTGGCCCGACACGCTCTTGGCCGCTTTTTTTTAAAACATATTTCACTTTACAATAATTTTGTTTGTACAATATTTCAACGAATTTTATATAGTGGCGATCACCTCATTCCGAGGGGATTTTCTGGGATTTGGTAGCACTCGTAAAAGCGTATAAATTGCCCCATAAATGAACTGATTCTTTGGAGTCTAGTAACTAGTATTATAAGATTATGTTTGTTACTGGTGTTTAAAGTATGAACATCTTTGTTCTTATCAAAGATATTTATGTCTTTATGAACATACATTACATTTTCATTTTTATATATACCCATATAACGAAATTATGATATTTATGGATAGTATATATTTTAAAACTTTACAAAATCTCCTGTTTACTATCCTTAAGGAAATCTCTTATCAAATATCTTAAGAAAATATTAAGAATTCCAAGTAATTAGTTTTTATTAGAATTTTGCAGAATAAAAGGGATTGAGTATGGCGAATTTCTACAGTCGAGTTCCTCAAGCGTACAGCTGTAACAGAAAATGATATATATATAAAATGATAATAATGAAGGCTGTTGAGTGTACTGAAGTACGAAGATAAATATTTTTAGATCGGTTTTCACCATTGACCTTAGTCTAATCTAGATCTGCGATCATTGTGATTCCGAAATACACATACAATAATTATTACATGGACGCGGGTTTTTTCTTTACAGAATAAGGGTGACAAACGGGCAAACATTTCACCAGATGTTCAAGTGGGTACTGCGACTCATAGACATCTGCCTTTATCCTCAATATTTAGTTAGTGTTTCATTATTTCGATTACAGATATAGGTTACATTTGCAGTAAATGCCATCGACTGATATGTAGGCCAATTTATCAAAGAACATTTTTCCGTACGTTTGTCCTTCAACCCGATTAACTTTTTGTTAGAACAATGTTTAGTTCTTACTTTACATATAATTCCCATGACTCGCTCTCTACTTATTTAATTATTGTCCTCCAGGCCGAATTTCGGTCAGGGCGGCTAGCCTCAACGAAAACTAGCAAGCAGAGGTGCACTCTTTATTCCCTCACTCTCATAGTCCCATGGGACGGTAAGTCGACACGACCGGAGAGGGATTAGACGCAGGACCAACGGCTCTAGTTGTTTTTTGCTCGGGTGTAGGAACATGCCAACTTCCTGACCCCGGGCAGCTATTGAGATTTTCTTGACGAAAAAATTCAATAACTGGTTATTTATTAGGCTATGCCCCGACCCGGGATTTGAACCCGGGACCTCATGATTAGCAGTCGCATTTACAACCACTAGACGACATTTTTTATAGAATAAGGGTGACAAACGATCACACAGTCCACCTGATGGTAAGTGGATGCTGTGGCCCGTAGACATCTGCATTTTTCTTCAATTAAGAATCAAAAGAATCAAAATGCAGTTGCGTTGCCAGTCCTGAGGACTGAGATGGAATGCTTCGTTTCCAGTAAAAAGGGTCTCCGGTTCTCTAAACTCACCATACGAGACACAGTAACATTAAGCTGCTATTTTACGCTGGTATTCTGTGAGGGCATGGTCCTACCCCGGTCGAGCCGACCCGCTCGTGCTGCAACCATAATATTGCTGCAGCATGGCTCTACCACATAAAAAACACATACGACATACGAGGCAGGTACAATTAAGTTTCGGAATCCTCATAGCGTGAGTAATACTCACACTTTTCCGGATTTATATTTAGTAATTGATCTTTAGGGTTTAAAAGGTATAAAAAGAAATATACTTAAAAAGAAGTGATATTTATTAAAAGTAAAATATGTAAATATAACATATTATAATATATAAACTTAGAATACGGAACTTGTTCGATTTTTGGCATATAGACGAACCTATTTAAAATTACCTTCTCAGCGGGTTTTGAAGATCTCGCTAATTGGAGTGCCTAGAATTGATACAGAGCTGTAGAGGTCTATATCAATTCTAAAGAGAAATTTTTTGTAGGGAATAACGATTTTCAGGGTAGTATTAAGATATTGACAATTAAGGTTTTACAGGCGTGTGCACGTATCGGAACTGACGTTAAGCTTCCTCAATGATGAGTTTGAGGTGGAACCTGCTTATGGAGAACGACGTGAAGAAATGTTACGGCAGGCCGGCATTAAAACTTATTTTATAGTGCGAGTTCTTAAACCGGTAAGACCAAATTAATGTTCTTTATAAAATGTTATAATTAAAAGATCATATAAGTTTTTGAGTACCTATTTCATGTTGAATATATCCATCCGTACCCTTCGTGGGTGCCGTATGAGGCAACTATGTACAAAGCCAGAAAGATCTCACGAATTTCGTTAGACTGCGATAAAAAATCTCGAATATCAGAGTCTATCTCAGAGGTAAAGTCTAATGTCAGAGGTGTATGAGATCTGGTAAACAGATATCATTTTGTCAGTCTGCCTGCCAAGGGTGGCGGTTATGGCAAATCATCCGTACAAATCTATGTGGGAGGTTCATTCCGACATTACTGATAAGGTAGAATAATATAGCATGCACAGATGAAAATAGGATGAAGGAAATATATGTCCTCGTACCTTACGCACATACTTTATTTAAAAAAAAAGAATATCGTGGTGTTACCATAATCATTAAAAATAATTACCGTGTAGTGGCGGCGTAAGAAAATCCGTCACCCATTAATGCTCGTGTGTGTCGAAAAAGGCAACTATTGGAAATACTAGAAAGATTTCATGGCGGTTTAAAAAATATACGCTAAATGTTAAATTCCCAGAGAGGCAATAAGGAGTAGTGACAAAGGGGCGTGATGTCTGGTAGAGCAATCAGTAAACTAATTACCAAACGTGATGAAGGCAAGAAAAAGGAGAGGCCCTTGTGGGATACTGATAAAGATTACTTATGTGGTCATCCTCAACACCATATTGATTGTCTTTTTATAATAAATATCGCTTTATAGCGCCTACAAAAGGATTAAGTGATACATAATTAAATTCTATCTGTTGACTTAAGACTAATCGCTACATAAAGCTGTAAAACATTATGATTTAACAATTAGAACCCGCGTAAAAGAACATATAGCCCCAACCATTACATCAGATTTGATAGACCACAAATCCTTGCGAAAGAACATCGATTCCTACCAAGGATGATACGTGAGGCTATTGAAATTAAAAAACATCATAATTTTAATAGAGAAGGATGCTGTGTACTACCACCTGCTTGTGATCCTATAATTAATAAAATTAAAACTAAACCCAAGCATACCACTGCAAGACTTCAAAATACAGTTAGTTCATTCTGCGTAGATCGGACCAAAAACAATAATTAAAAAGCTGAAGGTATTCCGGGTTAACTTTGACATCGGGACGTCAGTCACCTCAGTCCCCCGTGACCATGGGTGCTGGAAAGCACCCGAAACGTCGGGTATTAAAATTAATATAAATAAAACGCGATAAAATCCGTAAAAGTAGTTTTAATCACTGTAAAACATTTTCTATAATCCATCTTGCACTTTTATTTTATTTGAATGTGATTTTAAAAGCGGTAAAACACTTTTAAACAACAATTAAAGACACCGATATGAGCCAGCTCCATACTTATTGTTTTTTTAAATCAGATGATTCTGAATCTTAGATTTAAAAAAAACTATCAAAATGAATGAAATGTTTCAAAATGATACTGATAAAGATTAACGCTGCTAGTTGCCCACCTTGAGTAGATGTCTGGTGTCAATTACTTTATGAAATCGAAGGAGCATCAATGCCTCATAGTGTACTGCCAAATATTTATCAGAAATATTCAATACCTGAGTAACAAGCTCCCGAACATGAAGCTTTCGCGGGCCACTGCTTTTACCATGACAGCAAACACACCGGATAAGCATTTGGGTCACCTTCTTTATAGTCCTGATTTAACGCCATGTAAATTTCACTTAAAATAAAAAAAATCGTGCAAAAGGGATACAGTTTTCATCGCCGCAAGGTGCGCTAGCAGCGTTTGTGCAAGCCGTAGTAGAAGTATTTCAAACGGACTTGAAAAAGCGTTTCGATAATTGGTTCAGACAAATGAAACTTTGAATAGATGCTCGTGAAGAGTTCTTTGCAAAGATTTATTAATAAAAAGTTTAACCATAGATTTTCTTTTAGTTTCGTAAATCTTTCTGAGTGACGCGCGTTCGTCATCCATTTTTATTCCTTCGTCTTTTGTTAGAACTTTTATTTCAAGAAAAGAGATTTCTTATTAGAGGTAAAAAGTTTCTTTCACTAGTACGGTAGAAATAAGTTGCGGAGACACGAGTTTTTTTTTAAATGCAAATGTGACAAACGAGCATACAATCCACCTGATGGTAAGTGGATGCTGTGGTTCATATACATGTACATTTATCAACAATTAAGAATCAAAATGCAAATCCGTTGTCACCTTTGAGGGCTTAGATGGAATGCCTCATTTCCAGTAAAAAGGGTCTCCGGTTCTCTACACTAACCATATGAAACACAGCAGCATTAAGCTGATATTTTACGCTGCTGACCCATTCGTGCTACAACCATAATATAGATTTTTTTTCATAGAAGATTCTGAATCTTAGCGTCAAACGAGCATGAGGCTCACCTGATGGTAAGTGACTATCGCCGCCCATGAACAACCGCAACACCAGGAGCACGTGCGTTGACGGCCTTTTAAAAAGGAGTAAGTTCTTATCTTGACGGTCCCTAAGTCGTACAGGTCAAGATGCAATGTGGCTGTATCACGTTTATGTTGATGAGAATTGTCCTCCGGATCGAGTAACCGTCGAGGCGACTAGTCTCAATGGAAACTAGCCATCTACGCAGAACGGGAATATAGAGCATGCAGGTCAAACACATGAGCACTCTATTCGCTCAATCTCATAGTCGAATAGGACAGCAGTCCGTTCGGAGAGAAAGTCGGAGCAGAATCAACGGCTCTACTTGCGTTCCAAGGCACTGGGTCGAAACACTCCCAACTTCCTGTTTCTTGATTTAAATAGCCTTGGCAAAGTGAGCAAAGCAAAGAAAAATATATAAATAAACCCAAAAATCACAATTTAAGTTTTTATAAAAAAATTAGCTTAGGCTGAGATTCGATCCTAGGAGACTTATTATATTTGTTTAGAAGAAAAAAATCGGATACACTGACCACTATGCACACTATGTCACAAATCGTAAAGTAATTTTTTCAATAATCTCTTATTTCCACTAAACAAAATTTATTTTTATACGTATATCGTTTTACATCTAAAAATTAATTATAAAAAATCTTATACAATAATCTAAGCTTACACATATATATATATATATATATATGTAAAAAGTATGTATTACTATAGCATATATACTATAGCATGCTATGTATATGGTGTATGATATGTGTGTGGTTTTTCATAATTAAATAACCTCGTTAAAAACTAAGAATCAATCCCAAAAATTTACGAAATAACCTTTTGTTTTTCTAGTTACTGTATATAATATATCAAATGAGGGAGCCCGATCAAAGGGCCTACTTATATTATGTATAATATCAGTAGTAGTGCTACTGATATATATATTAAAATTTTAGGTTACCGAGTGTCCGAGAACCCAACAACCAAACACGTTATTGATTTCTCGGAAACGGCTCTGATGATTTGGATGAAATTAAGTATTTCATCTCTGAGAAAATTAGAATACTTATATTTTTTTCTCACGACTCACAAAACTCAATAGACTAAGTATATAAAACTATAAGCTTCCACTATTTTCCGTTCGGAATTTTTTTTTAATATTAATTTTTAGATGTAAAACGATATCCGTATAAAAATAAATTTTGTTTAGTGGAAATAAGAGATCACTGAAAAAATTAATTTACGATTTGTGACATAGTGTGCATAGTGGTGAGTGTATCCGATTTGTTTTTACTAAAATAAATTCTGACTTATGTGTCTCCTAGGTACTCAGTACATAGTATGTATTTATTTTATCTCAGAATTTAAATGTTGTTTATATTTAATATAAATATTTATAAAATATATTTCGTAGGATAACTGTTATTTTATTTTATAGTTCCACGGTGGCGGTGATGGAGGAGGTGGTGGTTGTGTAACTGCTGAAAATAAACACGTGTCAGAAGGCGAACCGGTGGAGGCCACAGAGGAAGGAGACGTTGCTGATGCACTTTCCGACCTCCGAGATGACGACGAGGATTCCGTAAGTACACTTTGGTCGGTTCTAAATTGTTTATGTATCATTCAAGTCTCAATATAAAGAATACAAGCACACTAAAATTTCAATCAAAAGTAGCCTTGTTAGTTCTAGACTACTTGAGTACAACACGCTTGGCAGTGAATCTTCATTCACGAAAATTGAATTGCTCCTTAGTTTTCATAGGAACATTTTTTGGCCGGCTATTTTATGTCACAGGCGTCCATAAAAATTTGTTGCTCCTCGATTTCATCAAAACGCTTGGTACATTATCCGTAGGTTCTATCGCCACAAGACGACAGCAAAGACAATGAAGATTCGAAAATTCTTGCTATGTTAGAGGAAGAACTAGTGAATAGAGATGATGACAAGTAAGTTGTTATAAAAAATAATAAATACGTACGTGCTATGTTGAATTGAAACTATACACACACACATACACAACATATATATATATATATATATATATATATATATATATATATATATATATATATTAAATACATTTCTAAGCTTTTCCCATCTGCTTTTGTTGTGAATTGTTTCACTTTTAAGGGCTATTATATATTTATATTATTATTATATATTATATTTATATTATAACTTATGCTTCTTTAATTTTTTTTCATGTGCTAACTTCTCTTACAAATATATGTATTAGAAGTTATAAAAGTCCTTCTATTCTTGATAACTGTAGTCCCTTAAGCAGGGATCAAATATACTTAAAAGATGGTGTAATATGTTTGTGCAGGGAACTGGCAGATGCAACAAATTTGTGCCTGACGTTTAAGTCTGGTGAAGCGGAGGCGGCGTTCGCTCGGCGCGATGACGAATTTCCTCTGGCTGCTGTGGCACCGCCCATCTTGTTGTTGCCGGCGGTAGCGGCGATAACAGTTTACTCCCCGAGGGACACGTGGCTGCTACACGGAGTTTATCTTGGACTACAATTGGAGACCGGCGTTTGCAGTGTCTTTTACTACATATTCTACAAATATTCTCAGTTCAAGGTTGTATTAGAGTCAACTTTAATAAAATTTTATGATTCAAAATTACCTATACACATTTTTTTAGTTATATGTGTCATTTTGGTCCATAAATACAGAATTTGTTAATAACTTGACTACAGCACAGCGCCACTTACAGTATCCTAATATACGAGTAGCTATGAGCCATTGTCACGACAAAACAAGTATATTATGTGAATATTCAAGTCAAGTCCTTCAGTAGTTGCTCGATCAATAATATGAGATCAATAATATAAATAAAGTACAGAATATAATAACAAATCATAAAATAAATATTTATGCATATAATTCTGCCGTACGTGTTTGTCACTGAACTCCTCCTAAACGGCTGGACCGATTTTTGAGATTTTTTTTGTGTGTGTTTGAGTGTGGACCCGATAGTATAAATATATATAAAAAAGGAAATGACAAATAAGGGTGACAAATGAGCACACAGTCCATCTGATGGCAAGCGAGCTCGTTAACACATTTTTGATACATCTATCCTCACTTAAGAGGGTAGACGGTCTGCGTGGGAATTAAAAAATAGGTATTTGAAGAAACTATTGCCGTCCCTCACCTCTGGTCTCCACCCGAAGAGTGCGATAGGGACAACTGCAGCTCAAAACGATTTTACCTACAAAAATCATGATCGATCGTCGTTTCGTATTCCCCTGTTTTCTCCTCGAAAACTAAGCCAATTAAATTATTTTTGGTATCAAAATTTAAAGGAAGAATAGATCTATGCTTCTATCATTTGCTTTTATCTTAAAAACTTTTCAAATTTCTTTGGTAGTCGTCTGATTACGGAGGTGAAACGGGGCATTTTTTTAGGTTTTTGTAAAGTCATATTTATTTTTGTAATAATTTTTTGAAATAAAGTAAATGACAGGGGCATGCCTTCAATAGATCTAGATTTTATAAACAAAAACAATTACTCTAGAGGCATTATCCAGGAAGAAAATAGGGGAATACATTTGTATGGAAAAAATGCAGCCTATCTACCCTCTTAAGAATCGAAATAAAAAGTAGATGTGTTGTCACCCCTGAGGTCTAAGATAGAATGCTTCATTAGCAGTAAAAGGGGTTTAGCTTAAGCTAATTTTAAGCCTTATCACGTAATAACTTCATTTGATTTGTTCCCCTAATAATCATGATGTCATAATTTTCAGAAGCAAACAGTCAGCCCAAACTGGAAACTACTATGTAGCATGTTCAATATCTCGATGTTTTGTGCGGCAAATGTTGTTACTATGGTATGTGTGTAGTGTTAAATTTAAATTCTAATTTAAGAGATCATTCGACTCGTTGGCCCATTCCATACACGCTACACATCTCGATTGGTGGGATTTTTTTTTATTTTCTTATTATAATAGTCGCCATACACGGTCAGTAAATAAACTAATAATACTCCGATATTGTATATATTTCTAATTATCGATACATCGAAAATTCATTATTTTAAGAAATATCAACAGTTTTAGTTTGAACTGATCCGTTGGAATGATTAATTGAACTGACCGTGTGTGGCGTCCATTTGAGATACTTACCATTATTTTATTTTAACAGAACAAAAAACGTACAGACAGAGTTGTGATTGTCTTCATGTGTATGAAAGAGACCATATCCAGAATTCGTGTTAGAAAATCCATCACCACATCTCCCTGTAATAGTGGTAAAATGTGCAAGCGGCGTACAGAAGTAGATGATTGTAATACTCACGTCAGATGATTGGTTGCAAAACAATGATGGGCAAAGCGAGATAGGCCATTAATTTTAACATAATTAATTATAGCCTATCGCAGTTTATTTCTCTAGCCTATGGAGCAATCTATAGGCCTCCCCTATAAATTGCTTAATAGGCTCATATCCCCTATATTTGCCAAAGTTGCCACACTTGGCTGGTGGATCGGTAGCCACAGTTTTTTAATTAGTTTGAGTAGCTACCAGGAAGATGCTGCTGCATTTGACTTATGTCGCGTTTTTAATAGACGAAAAAATGAGACAAGAGTTGTAAAGAAGTAAACCTCAATAAATACTACTAATTGGGTACGCATTATTTTAATATCGATGTTTTCAATTGATTTCTTTATTTATTTCAAATTTTTTTGTTAGTTTTTAGTACCGAAAGTTTATTTCAAATTAGTAGTATTTATTGGTACATAAATTTCATAATATGTTAATGTAAAAGCAAAAAAAAATGTAAAATATCAGTGCCACAGGCTTCTATTCCGTTCGTTCACCCGTTACACCCTATTATTTCCAGACAGCAATAGATATATAGACTTAAAATTATGCGTTGGAGTTTGGAATAGCACTTCAAACTAATTTGTTGATTTATTTTAATATAGAACCTCGAAGCGCTCTTTATTTAAGTATTTATCTATTTTTACGAAAATTTTACTTTGTTAATTGTTTTTCACAGCTTTTTATTAATTATTATGTTGCCATTTCACTTCAAAGGTGATCTGCAGTAAACTTGACGTCGCAGAGCACGAAAATGATCCGGAAGCAGTACCACCGCCGCCAGATGGACCGACTTACTGCTTGCACCCGTCTTTCTTTTTTCATGTAATAAATTTATACCTAATGCATAAACTAAAATTGAAATATGCAATATTGATATAAAACTATGAATTTGTACTCAATGTTATTTTCATTGTTGTTGTATTGATTGCATTTTTCAAATACATATTCTCTTGCTGTTCTCATAAATAACGCATAGTGTAACGGCCCAAACACAAAATGAAGTAATTATCAATGTATGGTTGTGCAAAAAGGTTATTTACGTGGTATGCAGCCTATATTAGTTATAGCACGAATGGGTCGGTTCAACCGGGGTAGGACTACACACACGTAGAGACCGGAGACACTTTTTTTGGAAACGAGGCATTCTATCTTAGTTCACAAGGGTCACTATGCATTTGTATTTTGATTTTTAATTGAGGATAAATGTAGATGCCTATGAGTCACAGCTTTCACTTACTATCAGGTGACCTGTATGCTCGTTTGTATCCATTATTCTTTAAAAAAATGTCAAAAGAAGCTCAAGAGTGTATAATTATAATGTTGTAAAAATGCAGTCATTAAGAAGTACGTTAGGGGTGAGTCTGACAGGGTGAGAAATTGTATGATAAGAAAAAAGTGTTGTTTACAAGTAGCAGTAACCAAACCAAACCAACAAAGGAATGTAATGGTGGTCTGGACACGTAGAAAGTGTTAATGAGGAAAGAGTGAAAAAGCGTAATCATTCTGCAGAAGTGAATAGCAGAGTCGGCAAGGGAGGCCTTAGACTGTAGTTTGTCGACTAAATTGTTGATATATTAAAGGAATCTAGATGACAGGCCGTTCTGTCTCTTTTTCTTTGTCCTTCCACATTCTGCATTATGAAAAATTCGCTGGATATGTCACACACGTTTGTGGTTGTTTTAATGTATGAAGCTGTAAAAACGAGAACATAAGTAGATTGTCTGATAAATATTAGTTTTGTTTCAGAAACACGCCCCTTGCCTTAGAATACCATTTAACATAAACCAGATTATAATATCCACTTCGTAGCTCTACGCAAATGTTTTTTTAAATAAAAAAATTTAGTCTTTAATTTGTGAAAAACCATTGTTTAAGTCAGGGTTGACTGGTAGAGAATGCTATATAAGGCAATTCCGCCCATTTTAGCCCTTGGTTTAAAGAATCTCGAAAGAAAGATTAAATAGAGATGAATTATTTTTAAGATATGTATTATAAATTATTTTACAGATAGGAAAAGTTAAGTTGCTTAGATTTGTAAGCAATAATGAAATGGTCCTACTAAAAGGGAGGTTACCTACTGTAATCTCACACACAAGCATGGGATCAATCCTATAACTTATAAGCTCCTTCCTTATTCCAAGTATTCGCTACGATTTAATAAGGCCGAAAATAATTGTTCTAGTGGGGCAACTTTCGAAATAGAACCTATCAATTGTGTAGTATATTGCAGTATATTATATACAAAAAATAAACCAAATTTGGAGTATTTCTTTAATAGAAGTAAGGATGACGAACAAGAACACCTACATGTATACCTGATGGTAAGGGGATGCTGTAGCCTATTTATCCTTGATTAAAAACAAAAATGTAGATGCGTTGTAACTCTTAAAAATGCTAAAGTGGTTATAAACAATAAAAAGAGCCCGGTTCCTTCGATTATTCACCGTAAAAATCACAACAGATCTATTAATTTATTATTATTATTTTATTAGATCTATTAATATATTATTCTACGCTGGTAATCTGTGCGAATCTACTCCAGTCAGACATTCTTGCTGCAGTACAGGCATAATGTAGCTGTAGCTTGGACCAAAATATACTGGGTCAATGACTACTTTTCTGTCTAGGAGTTTCGCGATTTCTTTTAAAATGTGATTAATAACGGCAACTATGTGATTTTCTAAGGTGGCTGCAGGCTTAGCGTGTTGCACTCTATGGCCGGTAGAGTTGAGAGGAGTGGTGCGGGCAGCGTTTCTTCTGGGAGTAGTGGTGGCACACGCCCTACCACCCATATTCGTACCTACTATTATAGATCTCCGTTACTACGCAAATGATACCTTGCTGCAATACGTGAATGAAAATCTGAATACAACCTTGGACGATGACCTTCCCTATGTAATGTAAGTAGCTGACCATCATTCAGTAGAATACATGCAATAAGCGTAACTCACGTAAACCAGTTTTTTTTTAAATTCAATCATATATGATTTTGAAATATCTTGTTCCTACCGTCGTTCACTTTTTAATTTACTAGCGGCAGAAATTGGTTTGAGGGTGGTATTTACTCAGATGTACCTCTTATATTATACCTCATTACATATTTTCATTCTTATCTTTAACAAAAGCATTCCATGAATTTCACAGTACGCAATCCACCCGGATTCGGATTCGTAATAGTGAGACAGATATGTGCAGTAACTTTTAGACCTTTGTTGCCGATGATATTAACGTACAGCCATTTCTAGATGAACAATATGAAATAAAAAATACAAAAATAAAATTATGATGTAAAAGAGATTACGTAACCCTCGACAGTTTCTATATTAAAACATGAGGCAATTCATTGGTGGCGATATTTATGGTTTAAGACATTTATTTTCTCAAAAGATTTACAAATCACTTACAGAGAAAATACACATTATAATGAAAAAAAAAACATTAAGCCGATTGACGTAGTGAGCTAGTATTATAATAGGTCGCTAAAACTTATTTTCTAATTGAGTGCTTAATAATTTATTTAGTAAATATTACACATAAGTAAATAGGGTAGTTGCAAAAGTGTTCGTACCAAAGCTAAGCAGGCCATCGTTACTTCGGTCAAAATTGAATGAATGTGGCGAGTTATTTGTTAAGGCCTATGACACATTAACTATTTTATAGTGTTCAAAATTAATCTATAGTGTTAGCTGTTATTGTTCATCTTTTAAAACCATTACTATATGTAATACGATACTATAATTAGGTAGTGTTTCTTTATTTAGTATATTATATATTTAGGTATTAATTTGTTTGTAATAATATAAGTAGTGTTGCACATACGCATAATGCAACGTATATATACATACATACACACATACGTACGTACTCATATATACACACATATAAATATATAAGTTATCTTGTCTCATATTTATAATCATACTGTGTTATATTGTATTATCTCTATAGAACTATTTTATTGTAGATATTATTATTAAGGTTGTATGTCTACTTCATATATTATGTAGATTAGAGATTTGTGATTATTAAGTTATTATCAAAAATCCTTTAAAATGTGGCTTTTTAGCAATTTCTTAAAAGTGGACAGGGATTTTGTTTCTATAATGTTTTTATGTAATTTGTTGTAGTGTTGAGCTCCTCATAAAGAACACTCCTTTTTCCATAGTTTGTTCTATATAATCTCAAACATAGGTTATTAGCCTGCCTTGTCATACGTTTATGATAATCTATCTTTTTTGTAAATGTTATTTGAGAGTGAGTAGCATTAGTAAGTATTTTCCTAATAAAAATGCATATTTTATATTTGTACGTTTGGGCTAGATTAAGTAATTTGGTTTCTTTATATATTTGAGTGGTAGGTGTTAAGTATTTATATTGGAATAATATTTTTATGATTTTATTTTGTGTAACTTGTAGTTTTTGCAACGTTGATTTAGTAGCTGAGCCCCATACCTCAATCAAATAATCTAAATGAGGCTTAACTAAAGAGTTATATATGGTATATTTGACATGTCTCGGGAGACATCGAACTATAGTTTTTAAAGCTCCTGTTAATGAGTAGATTTTACTATGGATCTTCTCAATATGTTGTTTCCAGGTAAGTCGACCGTCAAGAACAAGGCCTAAATATTTCTCGTTGTTAACTTTGGTTAATATTTCACCATCAATAGTAAGAGGATTGTGACTTTCAATTTTTCTATTTTTTGCACTAAAGATTACGTATTTTGTTTTTGAGGCATTGATTGTTAGTAAGTTTGACTGTAGCCAGGTGTGTAATATGTGTAAGTTTTGCTGGGCTTCACTTAGTACTGATTGTAACGAATGACCAAAGTAGAAGAGGCTGGTGTCGTCGGCGTATAAAGTGATATCTCCCTTTAGTCCAATTTCATATATGATGTTTACATAAATAATGAACAAAAGGGGTCCCTTGAACATTGATCCCTGTGGAATGCCACAAATAACCGGTTGGGGGCTGCTTTGCTGATTATAAATCTTGACAACTTGAAATCTATCAGAAAGATACGATTTAAAAATGTCAAATGCCTTTCCTGTGATACCTATGTCTTTTAGTTTTAATAATGGGATGTCATGGCTGACTGTGTCAAAAGCCTTTTTTAGGTCAATAAAAATACCTAATGTAATTTTCTTCTGATCAATATTAAGTCTTATGTTGGTTACTAAATCAACAGTTGCAGATACAGTGTTAGACTTTACGCGGAAGCCATATTGCTTTTTATACAGGTAATTAATAGAAGTCAGGTAGTCATATAGTCGTTTATGTAGTATTTTTTCAAATAATTTCGACATTACTGGAAGTACCGATATTGGTCGGTAATCGTTTGGGTCTTGTTTGCTTCCGGCTTTAAAAATAGGAATAACTTTTGCAGTTTTTAGGCTATTTGGAAAATAGCCATCACTTAAACATTTATTAATACAAATAGCGAGGTTTTCTACCATATTGTCTTTAATACACTTTAAGGATTTTGTGTTCATGCCATCTAAACCGGAACTAGCGTTAGAATCTAAGTCTTTTATTATTTTCAGTACCTCGTCTGCGGTCGTTGGAATTAATTTTAATTTTCATATTTATATAATCTTTGCAATCTTATAGATTTTGGATCAAGTTAGACAATTTCGTAATTAGTATTTCATCTTCATAATTTTGTTACTGTAAAAGATTATTGATTACAATTCATCAATGGTCTTTACCAATTTTATAGTATTCAAAGGTTGCTTGAACGTATGCAAAATTATAATTTTAAATAATATTTCATAAATGAATGTATAATATTGCTCTTACCTGCCATGCGTGATGACCAAGGTAAATATACCCATAACGAGAAAGACCTACGTGCAGCAGTGAAATTTTAAGGTCTGTATTCGGGTTTCGGTGTATACGGGAAATATGAATGAGTTATTACCTTTGATGGATCAGATGCTTGGCTGATCTCCACCCCTTTGTTGTTTTACATAACACGTATACAAGCTCAACGGTTTGATTTGTCGTTCGTAATGCGTACAGTTAGGCAGTAAATTCTCTCTTCTCTACACATCCTAACCGATTGCGGACCCTTAATGCGCAAACGTAACACTTATCTGGGATACTATCTACTCCGCCCAGAAGAAGTGAAATTGCTCACGGCTAAGCAACTCCTTCGATTCATTGAAGACATAGGGCTTAGCAATGAACTATAGCCATAGCAGCGATCACAATAGATCTTCTAGGTCGCAGTGATACTGGTCTCTTTACCTAGACCTGCATAGCTGCTCGCACATAATAATAAAAAAAAATAGGCAGTAAATTAGTTAACCGGCATCTGACTTCACATTCGATTACAGTGTGGATGTTCTTAAAGAAAGAGTAAAATAGGCTTTTGTTAAGCTAAGTCAATACGTTTTACTATCTTCAGCTACAACGCCACTTGTGATAAGGTGGGATAGTGGTCAAGTGCTGGTTTAAAATAATAATTAAAAATAAACGTGGTTCTGCCATCCAAAAAATGGCATTACATCCATTGGAATACACCGAAACTATATCTCACAAACTGATGATGAGTAGCAGCATCGTCACTGTGAACTTATCAGCTGCGCACTTACTCCCGCCGTAGTGTTCTGAGTATTGGACAGATCTTTTAAGTAACGTAGTAGCGTATTATTACAAAGGTTTATCCTGTAGTGTATAAAAGTAGGCTGTTAGAGAAGTTATAATTTATAATTCGTTTTACTGTTTTATAAAAGTGAGGGTGACAAAATAGCACAAAATGCCCACAAAAATCTGTGTCTAACCTCGATTAATTATCAAAATGCTACTATTCTGTCCGAGCGAGGACTTTCCCAATCGAACTGACCCGTTCGTGTTGCAGCCATGATATGCCGCAACGTGGCTTCATCACGCAACGGAATATTTTTTATGGATGATTTAGTATTTTTCAAAATTTCAGGAAACGTATTTACATTTGGAGGAACGTGTTAATGCTATTATTCATCACAATAGCACTTCTAATTTACAATCGATACGTGAGTAATAATTTATTTTTCAACACTTTCGTGTTTGTAAAGTGTCTTAAATTTAATTAATGAATGGATGTAAGTAGTGATTTTTTAAATAGAAATATAAGTAGGCCTCCCCCTACGAATTCTACAAAACACGTTCCTGAGCCACCTGCATTAATCGATTTCTCGTATGTCATGGCATATATAATTGGAAATACCGTATTCAAATTTTACAGACTGATGATGAGGAGAAACATAACTCGGTGCAAGTTTATATGATCTGTCACAAAGCCACCGGCTTATTTGCATTGCTTGCAAGGTTTGGTTAAGATTTTTTTATAATATAATAAGGGCGACAAATGAGCACACAGTCCACCTGATGTCAAGTAGATGTTTGTGATCCATAGACGTTCTATCTTCAATTAACTTTAAAAATTCAGATGAATAGTCATCTCTTAGGACTAAGATGGAATGTTTTGGTTCCAGTAAAAAGGGTCTTCGATTCTCTACTATTACACTGTTATTTTATTGGCTTAAGATATAAAATTTTTAGATTTATACAAATATAACGTACCATCATTGTCCAAATATACGGTCCTTTACAAGTCCATTGCTGAACATAGGTCTTCCAAAATAAATGCTCCAGATGACATTCATGAGTCCCCTGCATCTATATACTCCATAACAGGAATTTCTCCTGTTTCATACGTACACATACATACATTTCACAAGGATGCGGAACAATTATTTGTAGGCCATACAAATACTTGCTCCGAGCGGGATTCAAAACGGCGGCCTTCAGTGATACCACTCATGGCTAAGCCACTGTGCCACGGAGCCGTTAATTATTCTAAAATAGTGTCCAGCATAAAATGTTTGATCGAAATCGATGTAATGATTAGTCTGAACATCGTCAAGACATCGTCTGAAGTAGGCTTCTATAGTAAAGCAAACAAAGAGGTAAAAATTTAAGCACTTTAATTTACAGAGTTTGATAGGGATTGTTGTATTGATTGCAAGAGACTAACTCTCAATTTTCTCTCAAATCTAATAAGGAGAAAGGGAAAAGTTAAATAAGAGTATTTGCTTTTAGCATTAGATTTTAGTTTATCAGTTTAATAGTTAATTGGAAATTTCTAGTAGCTATTGATTAAATTTAGAGATTCATTTAGTTTTTTTTGTTAATAGTTTTTGTCCGCTATGTGTATTGATTTTGGATATTTAACGTAATATGATCAGACATCGATCTAAGTAGATATTGCAAGTCTACCTACTTCGCGTGTCCAAACTTAGTAAAAAACCTTTACTTGGCTCTACTCTGCCTCCATCCCCATCTGGGCGCTATCGTATAATGTTGAATTGCGACATTTGAAACTGCTAAACCCCAAAGTTGGTAGTAACTGAGTAAACGGCGACATTATCATTCATTGATAATCAATTTTGTAATCAGAAAACTGACCTCGTTAGTCTACTGATCGTAAGCGCGATTGCTGATCATGAGATTCTGGGTTCGAATCCCGAGTCACAACTAAATTAGTTATTTCTTTCTTGTCAAGAAATTCTCAGTAGCATCCCGGAGTCAGGAACTTAGCGGGAGACACAGCCAAATTTCCTGACGCGGGAAGCAGCACCAACTTCCCGAATCGAGAAATATGCTAGTTAAATTTGAAGCCGTTTTAAATGTAGTGACTTTGTTCATGTTCAATAAATATAGATAATGAGCAATACTTTCACTTACGCTTATATAATTTTTCTGCAAATTGTAGCAAATAGTGATGTACACTCCGTGCGACACAGACCAATGGATTTTGGAAAAACAGAAATGATAATTTAAAAGAATGTGGTCTAAAGATTCCTTTATTCAAGCTAAAGATTTCTGTTAAAATATGCTAATATATCCCTGTATTCAGTTCACTAAAGATATTTTATTTAGTTCTAAACCCATTGATGACGAGAAATAAAGACAGATTTTTAATAATGAATTAATCAGAACATCGATAAGCAAATCGATTCACACAAATATTTGACTTCTAGAATATATTATATCCTTTATTTCTGATCAGCACTGCTTGATGAATGTGAGTTTTCGATAACGGTGACAATTTTGCAAATTTTTTTCGAAGCTACGTAGGTACTGCGTAGTTGACGTATGATATATTATTACGTTAGTGCTACAAGTTTTCTAGTGAAGCACAGCACATTCAAGTTCGATAAAACACTTATTAATAATCGCATACGCTAGCATACATTGTTAAATATACGGGACAACAATTACAATGCTACTCGTCTCGTAAGTCATACAGTACACAAGGATATACTTGTGAGTTTTGTTTTCGCAGAGTGAGTCATTGGAACGTGCACGACACTCACGAGGCGAGCGCATGCGAGTACAGGCTGAGCAGGCGATCGATCTAAGACGCCGCAACCAAGCACTCGTGCACAACGTACTGCCACCGCACGTTGCCAGCCATTTCATGGGCGCGCGACACCACCATCGCGACCTGTACAGTCAGAGCTACGCCGAAGTTGGCGTATTGTTTGCTTCTATGCCGAACTTTTCGGGTACATTTTATATTTCATTCATGCATTTATTACAACCCATCACAAGTCCACTGCTGCCATAGATTACCTCTTACGGAGCGTATTTGCCGTAGTTGCCACGCTCGGCGGGCGGGTTATTAACCGCAGTTTTTATTATATTTATTATTTTTGAGTTTTTATTAAGAAGATGATATATTCAGATAGCAGTATCTGTCACCTGTTTTGTTTGCATCTGTCATCTCTTACGACAACCAGGGGATGATTTGTGATAGTAGATTCCCTTACACCGCCACTACATGGTATTGAATGCCTTAAGCGCGAAGCATGTAGGTATGTTCTACTAGCGCCTAAAAATCAAGAATCCGACGTTTTGGTGCATGAAATCGTATCTAGCAATCATATTGAACATGTAAACGATATAAAAAGCACATTGTCAGAAAGATAAATGATTGTTGAACTTATTTTTTTTAAATCGATTTATTGCTATTTTCACATTAAAAAGTGGTTTAAGTGGCTTATGGCCTAGATTAATCAACTCCGCATGGAGGGGTAAACATGATGACTTTTAAAAATATCAATTGTTCAACTGAATCCATTTTTTAATCTCTTCATCTGTCACGTGAGAAGCAATGCTATGTACTCGTAAATGGCAGTTTAATTTTGTTTTGTTTAGTTGTAATTAATTTTTTTCGGCTGAGAAATTAAAAAAGTTTCGGTGTTTGAGCAGCCTTGTAATAATCTATTTTACTAAATAAATACGCTTTGAGTTGAGTCTGAATCACTTCGTGCTCGACCGCCGGCATGAGTGGATTACTGTATCGTATCGTTTGTTTACAGTGTCGCGTGCTGTAAAAGTACATAATACATATTCCAAAATCCAATTTTGATACATACTTGATCAAGGCGAGATATTATTATTATTTTTATAATGACAGATTTTTATTACAATATATTGTTTCGCCACCTGTTAAGGGTACACATATCCTATTTATTTTGCTATATTATAATTTATATTTGCTGTATTATAAATTATAATATAGTTTATTTGCAAAATGATTAAT